CTGGCTGGGCAGCTCTCTGGGTGCTCAGCACCCCCAAAGCTCCGATCCTAGAATCGCCCCTGATTAGCACTAAGGTGACATTGGTTGTCCTGGTGGTTTTTGTCCATAAAACTACTCATCTAAGATTAACACACAATTATTATTATGTGCTTGATGTGCCTCACCTTTGGCCCTGGCTTTTCCCGTCTGACTGCACTAGGACATATTGCCACCTGATAAAATAACACATTGATTCCTGCCATATAAAAAGTGAGACTTGTCAATTCAGATTCTTTGTCAAATGTACACTAATGAATCAATTTACATCAGCAATGGGATGGGTTTAAGGGGAACAGGTGGCACCATCTGATCAGTCTTACCCACAATCTGGAAAATCCTGCATGTTTTACAATCTGGCGACATCTTTCTTCAGACCTTCAGACCAAAATGCTGAAGAATGTTGACATTGGTTTTAGTGATTCCTAAATGACCTGACCAGATGGTGATCATGCTCAAGCTGCAATGTGCCACCACAATATCCCTCAGGAAGGACGACTTGGTGTACCACCTTCCAACCTTCATCCCGGTGAATGCAACCTTCCTGCTCTAAAGGTCTTGAGACCTATTTCTTTAGCAGTAACCCATGCTCAATATAAAACTGCTCAATATAAAACTTGTGCCTTTTTATTGTTTGCCTATTTTACCTCTTTAAAACACTTTTTGAGGGTTTGATCCTTTTTCTGAGCATATGGCTCAAAGACTCACGTGAGACTGACAAAGGAAGACCCTCAGAGTAGCTAGATTCTGCTCATCGAGTCCTGATTTGAAAGGCAGCTCTCAAGCTATTTGTACACACAAACTCATCCAGGAAAAGATGGTTGGATAGATGTGTGACCGCGATGCACAAACACTTCACATTACACTGAAGTGAAGCACAGAGAAACTAAATTACACACGCAGACTACAGGCACAACGCTAAACTCCAGGGAGGCCTAGTTGCCGCCATAGGTAGTAGGCCAAACTGGCAATAAGTGGATGACAGTGCTGGCCTAAAGAATCCTTCTGCTGATTGATCGTGGATGACATACAGGTACGGAACTGAAAGCTCCGCCCCTGAGGTGAACCCCGTGACCACACCAACTCAGGCTGGAAAATTTCCAGACACTCCCACAGACCGAGACAGCCTCACTATGAACACATGAAGAAAGTTTATGGATGTGGTGGCATAATACAAAGTACTTTGCTTTTTGTTGTTGTGAACTTCTGATGAACCTCTTTGTTGGTTTGAACTTCCTGTTTCTGCATTCAGAGTCCTGCGTTTTGGTCCTGCATCCAACCCTGATCATGTATTTCTCTTTGATTCTGCTTCCTCTCACCTGTTTCAAACTGTCTCCATGGAAAGAGCACTGAAACACCTGAAAGACATCTGTGTAAACAAGGACATAAATGGAAGACTGGGCTGGCTGAGTGGGACAGATCTCAGTACTCACAGTTCATAAAGACATTCAGCTGCTGAACAGCAAAACATTCAAACATGGGCGATGTCTGTGTTTGATGAAGCAAATGAAAGTGTTGCTTCAAGGACAGAGAGCTGATAAAGCGCTGAGGTCAGCAATGGAAATGATGAGATTTGGTTAGACTGACAGATGAAGCTTCATATTCATTTACCTCCATGTAAAGCTTAGAAGAGAGAAACCGTTATCCAGCTGAGCTGCTGTTTATCAACCATTTCATGTTGTTGGTAGCACAGAGTTGCCCCGGTGGACACGAGGAAGAGTCAGAGTGCTGTGTGGCTGTGATGTGACAGCAACAGGTCACTAGTTTAAATATTCTTACTGTAATTTTGATTCATGAAGCAGCACAAACTCAAATATTGGGCTTGTTGCACAAACTCTTTGTCCACTGGACTCTGATCAGCAACATGACAGGAGTACCAGGACCACACCTGCTCACTCCCTCATGCTCTCACTGTGTGCTGGATGGAGACAGCGAGCAGCGCTGTGCATCAGACTTTACTGTGGAAGATAAGATGTGAGCTCACAGCTGTGCATGGAGAGCACAGAGTGAGGTTTTGCATACATCAGCATTTCCAGTGAAGTGATGAAGCAGCTTTGAATGTGTGTAAATGAGTCTAAGCAGCAAACAGAGATCAGTGAGTGAATCTGCTGACACAGAGCATCCAGAGCAGCAGCATCATGGAGAGGATCCTGCTGTGTGTCTGCTGCTTCTCAGGTAAGTCCAGATGTTTGTCGTCTACAACATTATTATTATTACTCAGATCAGTCTCAGCCCCTGATAGGCCCAGAGTCTCAGATAGACTCAGAGTGTCTCTACAAACTGACCCAGTCAAACGTTTTCCCTTTCAGGCTGGTTTGTCTCCACATGCTGTCCCTGTCAGTACCACTATGTTGATGATGCAAAGACTTGGACTGAAGCTCAGAGCTACTGCACACAGACTCACACAGACCTGGCCTCCATCGAGAACACTGAAGAAATGAAGCAGCTGAACAGCACAGTTTCGCCTGCTGCTCACAGCTCTGAGCTCTGGATCGGTCTGTACAGTCAGATCAGCTGGAGGTGGTCAGATGGGCTCACAGGGAGTGGAGCTGACTACAGGAACTGGGACACTTCTGAATATGAACCAGATTTTTACTCTGGGGTTCAGTTCTGTGTGTCCTCTTTAAAAGGAAAATGGTGGGATTATAACTGCAGAGAAAAGCTCCCGTTTATTTGCTACAGAGGTAGAAAAAAAAAACCTACATTTGATTTTAAACTTTTAAACTTTAAACTTTGATTTCAAAGAAAAAATTCTAAAAAGTTCAACTAGACGTAGCGTTTTCAGTGGGAGAAACGTTTCATCATCATCATCATCATCAGCTGACTGTGGGTTTACCAAACCTTTTAAACACCTTTGCAAAATGGAAAAACGAACCCAATGCATAAACAAAGGGCTTTGAGGTCAGTTTATGATCATTAATATGCAAATTGTCATGACCATTGACCGGCAATCAAAGGCCATTTCATTCGGTTTCATTCTAGTTTCAGTCATTGCATAAAAGTGCTTTTTAAAAGGTTAAGGAAACCTGCAGTCAGCTGAGACTGAAGAAGGCTTTTGGGTGATGATGAACTGTTTCTCTCCCTGAAAACGTCCAGATGAATACAGTTAACTTATTGGATTTCCTTATCTCGATAACTGAGCATGCAACAAGACAAAACGTTTCTGCATTTTAACTTTCAGGATCACGGATGAACCCTGAGTTTGATTTGGTGGATAAAGAAATGAGTTGGTCCGATGCTCAGAGGTACTGCAGGGAGAACTTCTTGGACCTGGCCACTGTCAAGAACACCGGAGAGAACCAACAAGTCCATGAAAAGGCTCAGAGTAAAAGGGTGTGGATTGGCCTGCACAGAGAGCCACACATTTACTGGTCTGACGGCACAAAGTACTCATTCTCAAACTGGGCCAGTGGGATGAACCCGTTTAGGGGTATGAGTACGATCTGTGCAGCTCTGACTCATTCAGGAGAATGGAAGACTTTGTCCTGTGAAACAAGATTACCATTTGTCTGCTACAGCCTCCCTACACCTGGTGAGCCTTCATTGTATTTCCTTTAAGGATCGCAAGCAATTTTAGACACACGGTGTTGTGCAAAAGTCTTGAGCCACCTGTAATGTCTGCATTTTCTGGAGAGAAATGGGAAACAGCTGCAGAGACTTAATAAATTTCCAAAACGGAAATATAGTTTATATAAGGTAAACCCTCAGAGAGTTCAAGATCAAGGTATTTTATGCTTGAGTGATTTGCAGGTCAGGTGGCTTAACAAACCAAACAAAAAAAGACTTTTGCATGGTGATGTACATTTAAGATAACAAATACTAGATGAAAGACACTTAAAGCATATGTTACATGGATCCTGTTTTTAAACAGAAAAGCAGACCAGGAGTCATGAGCTGCGTTTGGTCTGCAGGCCTTTCCTTGTCTGAGCTACAGGAGCATTGCAACGGCCATAGCTCTCTCCCCCTTGTGGCTGTGCCACAAAATGACATCTTCACAACTTTAAGTGAAAAATGCAATACCACAATGAAATTTGTCGAAATTTTGTGAGGTTTAACCTGAGATTCTAGCATTTCGGGCAAAATAAATTAATATTTAAAAATCTATTCAGGATTTTAATGAATCGATATCGCGTTATTAAAGCTAGAATCGATTTGTATCAGAAAATTGATAATTTAAACCCACCCCTAGTCAGTATAACCCAAGGTGAAAATGTCCAAATTGTGCCCAATTAGCCATTTTCCTATCCTGGTGTCATGTGACCTGTTAATGTTACAAGGTGCAAATGGGGAGCAGGTGTGTTGAATTTGGTGCTATTACTCTCATACTCTCTCATACTGGTCACTGGAACTCTAACATGGCACATTATGGCAAAAAATTCTCTGAGGGTCTGAAAAACGAATTGTTACTCTACATAAAGATGGCCGAGGCTGAAAGAATATTGCCAACACTTTGAAACTGAGCTGCAGCACGGTGGTCAACACCATACAACAGTTTAACAGGACAGGTTCCACTCAGAACAAACCTTGCCACGGTCGACCAAAGAAGTTGAGTGCAATTGCTCAGTGTCATATCCAGAGTTTGTCTTTTGAAAATAGATGTATGAATGCGTGGGGGGTCAGCCTCTTGGTGCCACACTGCATCACATGGCTGTTATCCCAGAAAGAAGCTTCTTGTGAAGATAATGCAAAACAAATCCCACAGTTTGCTGCAGACAAGCAGACTAAGGACATGGGTTAGCTGTGGTCTGATGAGATCAAGATAAGCTTATTTGGTTCAGATGGTGTCAAGAATGTGTGGCAGCAACCAGGTGAGGAAAAAGACAAGTGTGTCTTACCTACAGTGAAACATGGTGGTGGGAGTGCTGGTGGCACTGGGGGGCTACAGTTAATCGAGGTAATGCCAATATGTAGTGTGACATACGGAAGAAGCTGAAGCAGATCATGATCCCCTCCCGTCAGAAACTGGGCTACAGGGCAGTGTTCCAAATGATAACAACCCCAAACACACATCCAAAAGTTAGTGTGGGACAAAGACCATGTTTGTGTGAGACACTGTTAAGGATGAGAGGAAGCCTAAAAACACATCTACACAAACAAAGTCAGACACACTGCAATTAATTTTAATAACGTTTTTTTAAGAATGCATCCTAAAAAGGAGCTCGTCTTTCTGTCTGCCTCATTTTGTGCGAGAGACTTGTTCATTTCTCTAAACGAGATCAAATTAAAATGTGGGACATTGTCTGGACCTGTGTGATATGGAGAATGAGGGCTAAACATTCACTGCTCCCTGCAATCACAGCAGCAGCGATGGTTTCAATGATGGTGGCTTCATTTAGCTTCTGTTTCTGTGTCTGCAGTAAAGAGGCAGGTAGTGAAGCTCACAGTACATGTGGAGGACTCTCCTGTGGATCTGAATGACTCTGCTGTGAAAGCAGAACTGCTGACAAGGGCAAGTTCCCACAGTCCACCTTTACACTCGCGCCGTTTATATGTATATGAATTTCCTGATTTTGAATGAAAAGAACAAACATTGTGGCTGCTGTCTGACAGGTGAAGGAGCAGCTGAAGAAGAAAGGAGATGGAGTCAGTGTGAGGTGGAGAGGGCAGCCTGATGGGAAGCTCTTGGCTGGAGATGGAAGAAGAAAGAAGACTCTGAGAGAAAAAGAAAAATGTTTCAGAACCTTTTCTGCTTGAATCATGTGACAGCCAATCAAACTTTATTATCCACACGTCGGTCTCCCAGCTGTGTCTGAGCACAGATGTGGGCGAACATCTGTTTTTAGGCTCTTCTGTCACAGTTTTTGTGGGCGTGGCCTCTTCTTTGGCTTTCATAGAGATAAATGCAGACGTGTTTGTGAGCCACAGGTTTCTGCTGACACACGTTCACTTTTGGAAATCAGAGAGACAAACATGCTGTCACCATGGAAACAAGCACAGGAAATACAGCAGGCTGAAACTGTCATGGTCCTGGCTCTTTGAGTTTCTGGACTGTGTGTTTATTATTAAATGTTTTCTATGTGATTATTAGTTTGCTGATTGTTTCTATTTCATCTCCGTGTTATTCCTCAGTGTTTCAGTCTGGAGTGTTTATTTCCAGTTCCTGTTGATGTTGCTTTATTTTATTCCTTCACTGTTTCCCGTCTCATCCTCCTGTGACAAGTTCTTTCATGCGTCTGTGCTGTCATGTACTTAAGGTTCTCCCTTCCTGTTTTATTTTTTTGTCATTGTTTTAAATCACATGACAGAAACCAGCGACGGCCAAATAAAGCTTTATGAAGTATTGAAGCTCGTATTTAAAAAAGGGTTTGTTACTCAAAGCTTTCTAAAACAGTCCTCTTTTGTGGCGTCCAGTGGACAAAATGCAAAGAGCAGCTTGAATCTACAAATTAAAATGAATGCTTCATTATGATTGCCTACTCTGCAGAGCTAAGTTGGCAGCTTCTATTCAATATCATGTTACAGCTCTGATATTGGGCTACTGTTTGTTTTCTGATTAATAAATAATTATGATGAATGAACCATACTTGTTCAAACATGTGCCCTCGTGTAGTCTCACTTTGCTTTTGATTTCCTGACCAGATACACGCATTATGTATAATAATATACAACACACTCGTAAAATAGGTTGGAAGTGTATTTGTGCTGCGAGATCCATCATTCCAAGTAGTTACGTAACTAATCAATGGACAGATACATTTATACAGTGTATGTTTTTATTTATTTTTGACCTGGTTATAGAATTGCTAAAAAAAAAGTCAAATAAAAACATAACACACGCAAGGTGTTTGTCCACCGCAGATTCTTCAGCATCCTTCTCATTCTCAGAAGCCTTAGGAGCTCCTGTGCAATCACACACTGTCCCAGTATCTCACGAACATACATGCAGGGGTCCTACACTGACAATACCAGACTTTGTGAGTTTACCACACTGAAGATAGCTCCTAATAACTTTGTAACTTTGTGCCTCCAGATGCTACAGAGCTATTCAGACTGATGGATTGCCTAAAACTAGAAGAACCTCATCTATTCCCCTATT